GGGGGGGGGGGGGGGGGGGGGGCGTCGTTACTATGGTGGAATATTATTTCTCTGGTCCCTCTGGGATGCAACACTCCCGCTGGTCTCCCCGCAGATGCTCGAATTTCGCGTTCCCAATGGGCGAGGAAGTTGCTGGGAAGCATCCCTGAGGGGGCAACTTGTAAAACGGGGCAGGCGTATTTACTTTTTTTATTCATTTATTTTTCTCTCAGAATTTTCTTATCTGCGTTCGCCGCTCTCGGATTTATTTTTTTTATTTTCTTTAGAGCGGCGAGCCGAAGATTAGAGGAATGGAAAAAAACCGACGACCGTGTGCCGGTGTGGCAGTCAGGTGCGCCCACCGTCAGGAGCGTCACCCCGGACTCTTTTGACTGGGCGGGACGGTCCAGCCTCAGTCACGTGGGGGACAGTCAGGAGCGTCCCCTTGGGGGCTGTGTAATTGCAGGGGCTTGCACAGCAGTGTAATTGTGTCTGATACGGGTTTTGTAGGAATAAACAAATCCTTTCACAGGTTTTAAATAAATTATATGACAAACCTGACTTATCCTTTCTGTGCAATAATGGGTGAAATAAAGATGAAAAAAACCAGTGCATGAAAAAACATTTTATTAAGCAAGGATTAATTTGAAGAAACTTTATTGAAATATGACAGACTGACTTGATTAAGAGATTAATATAATTTGATAAAGTATGGTTAGTTTGATTAATGCATTTGATGGAAATTTGATCAGAAGGCATTACAAACCTGGTTTAAGTGGTTGCCTGGATTTTTAAGGCAAGTAAAAACTTCATTTTTTGGCTTTAAATCTTTGTTTATGATGGATTGAAGAGGTGGATAAAGATGCCTCACTCCTACACCCGAGCGAGAGGTGGTGACTTCAAAGAAATGTCTGTCACTGGTAGATGATCCCATTGAAACAGGGAATTCCATCAATGCATGCAACATTGCTGTTGGAACACAATTACTTGCTCGACGTTTATTTGGTGGGCAGCAAGCAAATGAGGTCGTCTTATTAGACTGTATCAGAAAACGTACTGTTCTTGTCTATTGTTTGATGTATCACACAAGCTCTCCTGGTAGTTCACACTTGAATACACTACAGGACATTATAATATTTTAGTTACATCAAATGACGAATATTTCCATCTACTAACGGACAAAGCATTCGTATTTTCCAAAGCGTTTAAAAGCCAGATACCTTGCCGGAATACACTGCAGAAACGATTCTTGAGTCAGCGGAGATATGAGACAAAGAAATGCAAGGATGTCCGGCGTCTAATTTTAATTGAAACACTCGAAGAAGAACTTCGACCAAGAACACGAGGTAAAATTCGGACAAAAAATCATATGCTCTACATATACAAGTCGATTCACAATTGTTTTATTCATTGATTTTTCAAAGTTGTATTCTTCTGATGAAGCAAATACATTTAAAAAAATCACTTTATACTGTAAGGATGGATGAATAATGAATTATAAAATGCAGTTGGCTGTCTTCAGTGACAAATTTGCGAGTGAATAAAAAAATCGATGAATGATGTAAAAGAACCTCAAATACGCTCGCAGTATGACATCCAACTACGCGTGCTGTTGAGCAAAAATGATACAAAATTAATAAATAAAACGAAAATAAATTCACGTAAAAAACGTCCCAAATTCAGCTTCACGAATGCATGACTCGTTCAGAAATTTTCTGCCTTTCAAGAATCAAGACTGTAATTGCATCTATATTTAAAAGGTAGCTTGCCATTTAAGCAATTTCAGAGTTGCATGTATCACCTTGGAGAAGTAGCATACTCTGCATGCAGTAAGATCAACAAAATTTTAATTTCAGTTTCAAGGGTTTTTATTGTACCCACAAAATGAAACGGACTCCTGTGAGTTTTAAAATGTTTGGACATCCTTGAAGCATGCCTTTGTCGCAGGTTAACTGATGCTTGATCAACAGTAAGGCGAATATTTTGCTTCGTGCTGATCCATCCAGATTGTTTTTGGAAAGCTTATATGGAACAGGAAGATTCATCCGTGTTTAGTCAAGTACTCATCAATTCATGTTTTGACAGTCATCATTCATCGTCTTGCACTATCTCGATTCGTTAATGCAACATTATTTTTTTTATAAGTACCTAATTAGCTGAAATCGTGGACGAACTAAAATATACTGCCCTGGTGATCATTAGCACAACTGGTTTCGGCTATTAAACGGCTGACAGGAGTTTATTTTTTGACCTGGAATTACACGTAGATTTCCTTTTCACTTTTTACAACTAATTACTATGCTAGATTAGCTATGTCGCACATCAAAAAGTGAATATATTTCATCATTTCGAGGAATCAAACAGTTTTAATCCTTACCCCTGTATGTATGTTGCAAATCGTGACGATAAGTGGCGAAATTAATTTAATTTTCGAGTAGATTCAATGAAAAAGTAGAGATATCCAAAATTATTTCGTAATACGTAATTGGATGATAATTAAGCTTGGAAAATATCCCTGGTTGAGAATTCACACTATGAAAAAATGGTTTAAACTCGGGAATCGTAACTTTCCCTTCACGTATAAAAGCAAAAAAAGTATATTTTCCGTTCTTCACATCAAAATCACGCTCCAAAAAATTTCACAGATGCCCCTCCTTAATTTGGCGGGATCAGAAAATTCTACCGCTGATCATACCCCTCCGAAAAACCCAGATTCGTCGCATCAAATGTTTGCTCGGTTGGCTTTCCAGTAAAAACCCAGAATTGGATTACACTCGAACATGTTTTCACTGCATGAACATCTTCCCAAAAAAAAAAAAATCGTGATGACACGAGGGATACGAATTGGTGATCCAAGGCTTTTTTCCGTAACAACTGTTTTCGAAAAAACGGGCAATCAAGAAAAGCAGAAAAAACAGGTTTCACTCACAGGAAATGTCACTCATCGACATCAAACTGAATGAATGACTGAATAAAAAAAAAACCGTATTTGGTTTTTTAAAGAAACATATTCTTCAAAGCGAACATTTTCGAGCAGATTTACAAATCTGCAATCGTGTTTTCCCATGTTTGATTCACTTACTTCCAATTCCAAGCATATTCATCGTCGAATTCATCTTTTCCCATTTAAAAGTTAAACGAGACTAACCATAACAATGTTTTGGATTAGATTTTTGGGCTATGAAATTATATGCGATATATCCTCCATATTTAATGCAGCGTTACAGGTATGTACAGTATTACCATGAATTGTTCTTGATAATATAAATATTTCTAGCTAAGGCTGAGCTCAATTAAATAAGACACTTTTCATTATTTCTCCTGAAAACGAATATGATCTTCGACCGTAAATTCCTTCAGATTCATTTCTTGAATCAGCTCTTCGCATGTCATATAAAACGCAAACAATCGATTGATGAGCAAAATTTAATTTAAAAAAATATTTTCTTTCCTCGTTTTTTTTACAAAATACCGACGCCTCCAAAAATGTTTAAATCAAAATCAGGATTTTTGCTGACGCTCAATGGAAGAGCATTTCGTGGTCAAGATATAGCAGTTTTCACGCATACGCGATTTTCACGTAACCGACATCAAAAACAACGAAACTTCACCCTCGACATAAAAGTCATTTCAAGGGATACAGGGATACAATACAGTTTCTTGAGCTACAGCATATTCAAGGACCGACATGGAAAATACTGTCGGTGTCGGAATCGTCATCAGATGTCACCGACGGAGTCGCTACTTTCAACAAGTGCAGTGTCCCGGCGTCGTCGACAGTGGCAAACTCGTGAAAATCAGGGCTGGCAAAAATTCGTCGCACGGGTCCATTGCTGATGCTGTAGACTTTGAGCAAAGGCGAATTGTTTTGTTTTGGGCCTCGTTTGTTGTGCAAAACGCTGTTGCAGCGACACCCGTCGGTTTCTCTGATGAATCTGTCCTCTGGAACTGTGGAACATCGGCCAGAGCGCGATTCTTTTCGCAGGTTTAATATTGCCAGAGTCTCGTCGTTCAGGTCGAGATCATTCGAGCCCAGGTCAAATCTTGAATGGAAAACAAAAGGTCGTCAAGACAGATGAATACCCGGATTTCCTCGAATACACAACGACATCGATACACGATTGTCTTCCGCAAGTTGAAAATTACTGTGCAAAGTGTCACACTTAACATTTAATTTTTAATTTTGATATCTTTTAAAGAAATCAAGCTGCAGTAGTTATATTCACAAAAATTGAAAAGTATTTCATTATAAATTCACTCTAATTCATAATCAAAAGCAAGCTGATTTTGTGCTTACTTTTTCAGAGTTTTTTTTCTCATCTGTGCATATTCTGGCAAGACTTGCTCTTTTTCTTTACTTTTAGATATCCTTTTGATGCCAAAAGGTCAGATTCTATTTGGTTATTTTGCACTGTTGTTTTCTAAAACTTGAAGTTCAGTGAAACAATTTTTTTTACATTTTTTGAGGACTTCTGATTTTTGACAAAAAGGAGAACCAATTGAATACATTAGCTGAAGTCTAAGGGAAAATGAGACTCAACATAGGGACACCCCAACATCAGGACACTCTTGATGCACCAATTAAATCCAATTAAATCGAGTGCTGCTTGTTATTGTAGAAAAAATCAAGAGCACATGTTCGTGCATTTTCTTTGCAATTTTCAAGCGTGAAAATGTACGTGATGCCTAAAAAAAATAATTGCAGGTGAATATATCGTAGGGTTTTCTTGAAATATATTCTTCTTGTCCGATATAATGGTAAATCAGTAAAACAGTTCAGGTTAAAAAAAAAGCTATTTTCTGGGGGAAAACGATGCTCACAAAACATTAAAAAACAAAACAAAACAAAAAAAACAATATGCTGATGGCGTCAGTGAAAATAATAATTTCCTCTTACCTCGTATATTATAAGGCACGCATTTCATTCACAAATTTAAACGTCGTGTCATGACATCTCTTATCATAAGTTGAACTCCGTTATACAAACAGCAGCGATCGATCCGAAGACACGCCTTATTGTTTGACAAATTTGACTCAGCTCAAGTGACTCAACATTTTACACGGCAACAATTGCTTTCACGTTTATCCTGTATTTCTAATGATAGCAATATTGACATCTATATACTCACCGCATGTGGGTCATGAGTTTCGGCTCGCATTGGTCCCCCAGGAAGATTTCAGTATCCAATGATCTCGTGACGATTGCTGTCAAAGATGAGCGCCGACGTTGACTCAGACTTCCAATCAATTCTTCCCGATCAGCACTTTGTTGATCCTCAGAGCCGTTGAGTAATTCCAAATTGAAAAGGGAGAACTGGGTGATTCCACCGGCTGCCATCAGCAATCCGCAGGAGGAAAAGATCAAATCGGTGATCGCTTCTTTTCCGTCATTACTCAGACCGTGAAGCAGGATTCCGTCGGCAGATGACCAGACCTAGATTATTATTTTTTTTTTGTGAAGAGGAAGCAATCACTAATTGGAAATCCAGAAATAAGCTCCATCACAGCTTTTGAATAAATACCGGGCCACAACCACCATGACCTCAAAATTTCAAAAAAAAGATGCAAAATATAACCTTAAAGCATATTTTCTTTCCTTCCAACCTCGCTCAAACTATTTTCGTGCGGGATATTCAGGTAATCTTCATCGTGGCTGGGCAAATCCCCATGTGCATACTCCTCCACAAAATTATAATCTTTGTCAGGGCCGGCCTAAGGCGGGTGCAGCGGGTTCACTGCACACGGGCGCCTGTCTAAGGGGGGCGCAAAAATCAGTGCCAGAGTTGGCACAAAAATCAGCTCTGACCGGGCAGTAAGGAGGGGGGTGTGCCTGCATGATGAGGCGCCAGGTGCATCATCAGGCTGTGATATATTTGACTGCAGCTTAATAGGCCAATCCCAGGCCTCAAAAATTGAATCACTGTGTCCCAAGGAATCCAGGAAAAGTAAGAAAAAAGACCCCTTCATCCACATAGTCAGTCTTGAGAGCTTCAACCCTGTGGAGAACCCCCTTTTTTTTAAATGGGTAGAATTTCCCCAGTTTCCTAAAGAAATAAAAAAGGGGAAATTTAAGAAAACACCTTTTTTATTAAAGAAAAAGAGGGAAAATTCAGCCTGTGGGATGGAAATTCAGAAACACTGACATTATGAAACTGCACAACCCCTGCACTTTAAGCACTCTCAAAATCTCAATACATTGAACAATGAAGCAGTTATTAGTCATTCTATTGAAAAATAAAAAAGGTTCTAATTTTTTATGGCAAATTCTTAAATTTGATAGGTTTTTCCACACAAAACATAAAAATTCAAAAAATTCTCTACAACTGGAGTTCCTTTGAAGATTCAATAAAGTTTGGTAACAGAGAAAATTTCCCCTAGTTTAAATATGTAACAGGGTTAGATGTGAAGAGGAGTTTTCAAATTTTTCATGCTTAAAAAATATAGCTAATTGCAGAATTAAGCAAAAGCTAGAATTTTTAAAAATATTTTATAATTGAGAGACTAATCAGTATGGTTCATTGTTTAATATATTGACAGTGCATAGTGTACAGTTACTAAAAGAAGCAAAGTTAAAAGAGCACATTGTTAAAAAAAGCACAATTATTAGAAAAAACAAGAAACATTTTTTTAAGTTCTACCTTTTTGCTTATACATTTTTTAATATGACAGATTTTTCAACAAAAAAACATGAAAATTCAGAAGAAATCTCTGTGCCTATATTCTCTTCAAATATTTTAAATTTTGAAAAGAAGGAAATTTTGTATGAATTTTCAGATTAAAAATTTTTTTGAAGAATTCATCTACAAAAGGTTTTACATTCTCATTTTCACCTTTGTCAATTTGGACTATTTTTAAGGTTTAAAAAATGGGAAGTGTAGATAACTTCATGGTTCCTTCAATGCAGTTAAAAATTTTTATTTCAGTGCATAATTACCATTTTGGCAAATTTTAAAAGATGAAAAATTGGGAAGAAAAAGAAAACAAGAATTCAAACTTTTCAGTTTAGCTCATTCTAATTTATTTGCTATTAAAGAAACTTGAAAATTATTTGCAGGGTATCATGCACAGTGATGTTATACTCTTTTTTGTTGAAAAATGTTGCAAATTGAAATAGCTAAAATTTAAAAAGTAAAAACATTTTTTGGCAGTTTTCAAAAATGTTTCTACATTTTTGGTTGTAATTTTGTCAAATGTTCAGATTTTTGCATGTTTAGAAAAGAAATTAAAAAACCTTTGCACATGTAAAGCTGTAAACAATTGAAAATTGGTTGAAAATTACAGTTTTAACAATATTTCAAAGTCAGCAAAACAGACTGCAGTCCATAAGCCAGTTTACTGTCTGTAAGCAGGTGCAACTTCCCCAAAACAGAGCCAGTCCATAAACTGAAAATCTGTACCCTAGCATGTCTGTAAACCGGGGTTTGACTATATATTGTCTGATTGCAGTTTTTCATGTATAGGGGCATCAAGGGAGGGTTTGCACACGGGCGCCATGCAGGCTTGGGCCGGCCCTGATCTTTGTCTACAATGACCAAGGGTAATTCATGGATTATCTCAAAAATGTGACCTTGGGTTTGCGAGACACCATAAAATCTCCCTGCTCACGCTCCAGTTTTAATGAGTACAAGTATAAGATTACCAGTGGCCTCTCAACATTTAACTGCTCTAGACATAGAATATTAAAAAAAAAAGTTTACTATGCACCTGGGCACCCTCATAAAATCCCTCTGCTCATACACCAGTCGTGACCCACAAATGAGGGCATTAAGCACAAGCATGAGAATACCAATGGCCACAAAACATGTGACCAACTTCAAGCATATAATTGCGAAAAAATTTCTAAAATCTTGAACAGGATGCCTGGGTGCAGCTGGGCAACCTCAAGGCCACAAGTGGCAAATTGACCACAAGTAAAAGTTAAAAATTAATAAAATGATGTACTCGTATATTTTGAAAAGTTGGGGCACTAACATTGTACAGTGAAATACACTGCAATGTTATGTCTGTAATGTCATACAACAAGCATTTTTTTTTTTAATATAATGCCCAGTGGTCTGACTGGGCCACACAGCTGGGCATGCAATCTTCCATGTGTGATCTGATAGACATTTTCAAACCAAAAATTTCTCCAGGACCCAGGTGTGGCTGGTCACCCTCAGCTAGTATACTGGTATATGCATTAACCATTATACAGTAATCCTGAATCAATGAAACCCCACTCGTTTGCTCAAGTATTTTTCCAAAATAATAGTTAAAAACGCATTTCATGTTGAAGACGACCAACTTGATATACCGTACTTCCAATCAAAAAAATAAAATGACTGAGTCGCGATGAATGTATTCTTCACACCACCATATTTATGCAGGCTTTGAATAAATGTATGCTTATTTACATAATTTATTCAATGAAAATAATTTCTAGGACAGCGATCAGTGAGAAATATGCTGTCAAAATCCAGAAAAAACTTATACTGTATTTCTTATACCTTCTGAAAAAAGGCGAAACACATATGTTTCGAGTCTTTCACCTATAACAATGTGCTTACGATATATTGATGGGCATCACTGACTGTACATGATCAACATGGGTATTCTAATTAGTGCTGCCAAGGAGTCCGTTTTCAATAGACAAAAGCACCAATAGCCTGGTAATATTTATAAAATCCTCTGAGAATAGCTGCGAAAAATAAATTTAATTATTCATAAGAATGAAATGTAAGAAAAAGGGCTGATGGTAGTCATGGTAGTCTTATAATGACAAATAAAAAATACATGACCCAATAAAATTCCGAGAAAAACCGCAGAAAATATCGATTAATGCTGGAACAAAATTCTGGAAAAACGATGGTTTTGTTCCTCTTACAGCATATAGATTGAAATGGATTGTCCAAGTCCATTTAATTCCGAGAAAGCCCGCAGAAAATAAAAAATACTGTAATGTAAATTGATTATTCCGCGCATGGAAATGGAAGGAAGGACATGGCAACCCTTTCGTCATGTCGCACATAACGGTTCACTGCTCTCTGTCACTATACATGGGGGACATTATTCAGATTGACATATACCCTCACTTCCTCAGAAAACTGGCTTGACAAAATACCGCAGAGATGATCCACTAATGATGTGAGTAGGTCATCACCTTATAGCACTGACCAAAAGCCACGTCCGAGGACATCATCCAGCTCACCCAATTTCTCTCATAAAACTTCTGTCTACCCATTCATGATGAGCTCCGACTCGATTATCAACCCAAGAAAGAAGTATAAGTCAGTGCAAAGAACCAACTCTTTTCTTAAATGCTACAGAAGCTTTAAAAATGAGAGCATTAAAAAACTAAATTTTTCAATAAGGTTCACTTCACAGGAGTTGAATGGAATTAGCAGTATAAGAAAAGGTGTAACTCAGTCAGATTTAAAAATGGCGTTAAAATACGCAACCGGATCGCAGCACTTGCTGCTGTTGACTTTCAAAATTTTAATTCGCATAAAAAATCAAAATTACCTACTACATACTATGATAAAACAGTGAGCCCAACAAGTGAACGCTCCGACATACGGACGATTCGACTCATCACTCAGGGACACTAAAAACTCGAAAAATCCAATTCGACATCCGGACAATGGCTCGAGATAAGGGCACTATGCGCCAATGCATTTTCCAGAAAAATGAGCAAATTTAATTTCTTTGTTTCAATATCTCTTGAAAAATTGAGCTCGTTTTATACACAAAATTGAAAATAGACTTCATCATAAATTTAGTCTAATTCATAATTAAAATCAGGCTGATTGCGTGGCTCCTTTTTTCAAAGTTATTTCTATCATCTCTGTGCACATTATAGCAAGACTTATTCTTGTTCTTCGCTTTTTGTGCTCCTTTGGATACCACACGATCAGATTCTATGTGATTTTCTTCTGCACAGTTGTTTTCTGCATCATGAAGTTGAGGTAAACCATTTTTATTTTTTTTTGGGAGATTTATTCCTAGTTTTTGGTGAACAGGAGAGAGAATCAAAAAAGTTTGCATTGAAGTCTACGGGAAAACGAGATCCGACATGCGGACGATCCAACACAGGGAAAAGGTCCAAGCACAAATTACGTCCGCATCTCAGGGTCCCACTTCACTTACTCATGTCAAACCTCAGGTTCGACATGAGAACACAACATAAATTCCGAAGAAAAATAATCAATCATACCTTAATGATTCCCGAAGATTCTCCAGTAACCAGACGATCTCCGTCTGGAGAAAATTTCACCGCCGTGAAAACGGCTTCCTTAGCAGCAATGGCGGTTGAAATGACGTTTTCCAATTTATTGACAGCTTCCTGCCTTCCTTTCCCATTCACAGATCGCTTCCTCCGGACACAGGAATGTTCCGAGTTGGTGGCTGAATTATTATTCTTCGACGCGTTGGGTTCATTCTTGGGCAATCCAGGAACACAAGTCGCGACGCTTTCGCCAGATCCCAAATCGTACAGAACCGCTTCACATTTCTTGGCAGCAACGACTGGGAAATTAAATTGCTCGAGTTTCAAAGTTGAACATTCGGAAGTATGGTTTCACGAATGATCTATACATTTATAGAAAAAAAACGAAGAATGTTTTCTCACCAAAGCGATTTGAAGCGGTGCAAAAATCGAAGATGACAATGTTCTGGACGAATGCACCGCTGCGTTTTGCGTCCAACGTGAAAGACTTCCAGGGATTCGACGCTGTATTCGGACGGATTTCTTGACAAAGCAGAGGATTAAACTCTCTCAGGGTAATCCCTTGAATATCGCAGAGACGAAAAACGATTTCAGGTGGATTATATGACGAAGAATTCATTTTTCCAATCGTCTTGAGAAAGGCGGCAACAATTTGAACCTCGTTGTTTTCGGCTCCTCGAATGATGCGCAACTCATAGACTGATGATGAGGGGCATGTCACTTTGATTGGTTTCTGTATAATCATCAGAAAAACAGAGTACACATTTATCAATTTATCTCAATTCAAATTAACGGTAATGCAAAATAGAAGGGGAAATCCGTTGTCAAGGATGATTTCTTTAAATGCAGTGTACAGTATTAATTTTTATTTTTATTAAATGCCGATGCAAAATCAAAGGGAAAATCCCGTAAATGATTTGTCGAGGATCATTCCCTTAAAATAAATGCATGCACTTTTTTAAACTTTCGAATACTGATGCAAAATTAGATGGAACCCTTTTAATTTGAGGATTATTTTCATAACGTACCATTCAAGATTATTAATTAATTTTAGCTGGAAAATATTTGCCAGTAATCAGTTTGGATTGTAATTCGAACCTGCCGATTAAAGAAATGCCCAAAATTAGCTCATTCCTCCGTTGCGCAAAATCTTCATTTGAATTTTCAAGAGAAATCCGATTTTTTCCCATAACACACAATTGGCTATTACATTGAACGACCTTCTTCATCGGTTTTAGCATTATTCCAAACGTTAAATCTCGGATTAGCCGCTTGAGTCAGTACCCTTTTTGGGAATAAAGAAAGCTATTCGATTTTTGAAAATTATTTGTTGCTCTCCACTGCATACGATTATGCTGTATGTGGATTTTAGTGCACACATGGTTGGTAACACTCGCTCAATTTTTCCAGCCATTCACTACTGAATGTTAAACATAAAAAAAAACTAAAATTACCTCAAAATTCTTCTCATTTACTTTTATATTTCAAGTGAAAGGCACGCTTGCTGAGATATTTCTTCACTAAAAATTCAGAGGCTCACTATTGGGGAAACTTACCTGACGATCCGAACCCGACGAGATTTTAGTTATCAAAACCATGCCTGCGTCACATCCGGACACGATCACGAAGCTCTCCCCGGAATGATTTCCATTTTTGTCGCAAATTTCAGCAGAAGTAACGCAGTTCACGCTCCTCTCGTGACTGGCTATTTTGCAAGTAGTTTCAGCCGATAAATTATCAGACTGATGGTGTCGACAAAGAACCACAATCCCGTCTGTTAATCCCACTGCCACCTGTTTGTCGTTCACTAAACTAATGCACGTTATGCGAGACATTGAGGCACCAGATGGTTTCTTCAGAGACGTCGACTTATTCATTGCGACCTTTGCTTCATTCTTGTTCGAAGACACGGCTGGAAAAACAATTTAAATGAAAAATTCGCAGGTTAAATCCAGGTAGACTTGATTTAACTCAGGTAGAGTGTGAATTTCTTAAGCGCGCCAAATTTCTTTTCAAAGATTCCCCTCAGTATCAAAAAATTTCCTGTACAAGAATTTTTTATCCTTCTGGTACACACGGTTTCAGCGCAAATAAATTCCGGTTGAGGTCAATCTACGTATACAAAAGGACGTCTGATTTCCTCGCGAAATATGGCTCTTCGAAATTTCAATCAGAGTTTATTTCAAGTAATATAGGTTTACAAGTGGAATTAAAATAAAAACTCAGAATTGAAAATATTACGCTTGACGAATACGACAGCACAGTGCAAATATCCTGATTTATGAAATGTCCCCATTTTCAAATCAAGAAACGAGAAGGGAAAGTTATTAAAGTTCATAGCGAATGCGTCGGGGGGGGGGGGGGGGGGGGGGGGAAAATTTGTTTGTGCTTTTTAGTCTTACTTGAAAAACATGGTTTTTTAGATTAATTTTTCAATCTACTATAATTATTTTCAGCGCGCCAATATATTTTTTTAAAGATTCCCCTCAGTATTTCAACCAACAACGCACATGAAACCAAAAAATTGCCTGTACAAGAATTGTTTATCATTCTGGTAGACACGGTTTTAACGCAAATACATTCCGGTTGAGGTCAATCTACTTATATACGAGGACGTCTGATTTCCTCGCGAAATATGGTTCTTCGAAATTTAAATCAGAGTTTATTTCAAGTAATATAGGTTTACCAGCGGAATCAAAATAAAAACTCAGAATCGAAAATATTACATTGACAAATAAGACAACACAGTGCAAATTTCCTGATTTATGAAATGTTCCCATTTTCTAATGAAGATACCAAAACGGAAAGTTATTAAAGTTCACAGCGAATACGACGGGGAAAGAGGAGAAAAGAATGACAACAAAATAACAATGAACATTGGCTGAAACATTTCCCGAATTTCCGCAAAAAATGGGGAATCCACGTGACATTGGTCCCATTCCCATGAATATTATGTCAAATGACCCTCTTGAATAATTCATTTCCTTAAATTCAAATTCGGAAACAAAATCAACCCTTTGCGTTTAGAATTTATTGAGGGCTTTGACCTTATATATACACTGACCTTGGTTTGGAGAAGTGGGTTCAAAAGTCGCGTGAAATCCTTGATTTGCGCCGGAGAGGTGCACTTGTGCTGCCCAACAATCCACACTGGCGATAACAAAACCGGTCCCTTGTTTTTGGGATCCTAATTGGTTCCTTCTTTCCAAGGAAATCCAACGAGCATCGAAATTCGGAGAGAGCAATAAATGGCTCATCTCGTTGACATCGTGAATCAAAGCAGTATCGCAGGAGACGCTCAGCAAATGCGCCTTGTTTTTCAACGGAAAGCGGCCAAATTTCAGCATCGTCAAAGGGCTGAAGTGGAAGAACAATTTGAAAATACACTACAGTAACCACGCTGAATGATTTGTCAAGGTACATTATTTTAAAAGGAATTATAATCTGCTCGGAATTTTTTTTCCGCAACATTTCACTGTCATCTTTTCACCCCGTCATTTAACGAATTTTATTTCTTCAGTTCTGCTGGACCTTCAAAACTTACTTCTGTACCCTATTTTGATATCGAACCCCCCCCCCCCCAAATAGTTGTGTGAAATATGGAAAGCAATCGTCCTTGTATTAATATACGCGTATTTTTAATCAGTTAAAAATTCGTGCAAATTTTAAATTCTTTTCGTTATGAAACTTGCTTAATAGAATCTCAAGCAGGTGCTGGCGCTTAAATTACGACCTGATATAATAAAAAAAAATCTAACTCAACCCGAAGTATATAATTTAATTAAAAAAAACCTGCTATTATTGCAAGCAATCGAATAAAACATAACCAATATATCGTCAGTAACCGATGCAAAATAACTTAATATTATAATAGTTTGGTTTAATCGATCTTTACTCTGAGTAACGTGATGCAACCTGATCTAAAAAAAAATAAAAATAAAGTATACCTATATAATAAGTATAAGCATAACTATATCTGATACACCTAGATATAGCATTCGTCTTGTTCGTAAACTTAAATAAGAATACTGTAACTGTAATAAGCCGAAAAAAATTTAGTCCACACCTATGTGTACAGTGCGATGAAGAATATATGAAAAATCCCATTGTCGAATGAGCGAAAGAAATGACCAAATTACCTCTGATGTGGTCGATGAAACGCCAAAAATGTCTGCGTTGATAACTCCCACAAGATAATTTCATTCTCTTTAGTCCCAACAACCAGGTACTTTTCATCAGGTGAGACATCAGAAGAAGTCAAAAAGCTGTTCGTCGGTTTCGGCAAGATGCAGCAGGAGGGCATCAGTTTAGAAGGGAATAGCAGTAGAACAGCTGCCGAAGCGTGTGTTTAAAGCAAGAAGCTGTGACAGTGCTGTGATAAGAGACATATGTCACATTTGTGTGTTTTTAGTCAACGGTTTTGTATGCGTTTACGGGAGCCTATTGAAGATGTACGATGCCTGTGATTTCCAAACGCAGTCACTGAAATATATACGTATGCTGGTGGACTCTCGTCTCTATACAACGTAGTTTAGGGAACCAATTCATAATAATCGCTTTAAAGATACTTTTTTTGCAGAGAACTGCTATAAGATGGATTAATCCTGTTGGGACCAAAACAGTATTTGTTTATCGATAAATTCGTCAAAAAAATCGTTGTTGAGAGAGAGAGAGAGTCCAAATTATTAAGGTTATAGTTCAGTATCATCATTTTTTGTTGCTGCAATTTTCAACAAATTATCCTCTAATTGTGATTTTAAAGCGTCCCAACTACCAAGTCTTCAAAATCCATGTAGTGTATTCCACGTTCACCCAGGACCAACTTTTTCAAGCGCTTTGTCAAAATTATCTTGACTTCTATTTTAAATAGTGCCTGGAACAATGGAGTACACCAAAGTTGAACTTCCTATTGAGCTTGGAGGGTTTCAGCTTTATGGGAATTTTTGAAAGGGGTTGAGTTTCCGAAAGGAGGAGTTTGAAAAAATGGATCTTAAAAGACCTGCAGAAAACCGATAATAAAATAACTGTGATGTCTGACTACAGGAAAGATAGAAGAAATACAAATGTAACTTGCGTTTTGAAAGGAATTTAAAGACTAATTGGGCAAATGGGCCTTTGCTTCCAAGTTCACCATTGTATCATTTCATTTTAGAAATAAATTCAAGGCCAAGAATATCAACGAATATTGTACAATTTTCTGTGATTATTCTTTCTTTATCTCAACAAAAATCCTTGTTTCCATGACTGGAAGCCTCCCTAACTGGAAACCACCCTAACTCAAAACCTCCCTGACCCGATTTTTTCGACTTCAAGTTCGTCTTATAGAGAGAGGTTCGACTGTAGCATTCGTCAGATCACTCAGATGCGCACCTTAAATTTTTAGGTAAAACTTTCGAGAAAAAGCAATGCCCGCGTATAAGACGCAAAACCCGGCTTGCTGCGATTTTTCACTTTATTTTATAGGAAATACAGTACACACTAAAATTTTTGAAATTTAGAATTCAATTGTGCTACATTTCTCATGATGCATATCATGCGAAACCTATTATATAGAAACCAACCATAGTGGATGAAATGAATCCCGACGATCTCTTTTCTGTGCTCCTGGCCCACCAGAACCACGGTCGCATTCTTCCAATCCCACAGCCTCACCACGGAATCCTTGTAGCCGGCACCGATGATGTTCAACGAGCCGTGTTCGGTATTGGTGCGAAACGCGAGTGCCGTGACACCACACAGATTCTTCATGATGTGACTCCTCAAAACACTGACCTCAACCCCATCCAATAATAGCCAAACACGGATCACACCGCACGAGTCCCCCGTTGCAGCACGCACCTTCCGCGAATCAATGGCGCAACAATTGATCCCATGCGGCTCGTGTTTGTCAAAGGTGAGCTTGACGAATCCCGTCTGATGTTGCTTGTTGGATGACGATGATGCCGGCGAGGACAATTGCGTAGTGCTGACCGACACCGACAGCGACGTTGTGCTGCTCCGCCGAACCCGGGCCGGTGACATGATGACGTGGTCCGGGATGAAGATGGCGGCTGCTGCTGCTGAAGAAACGCTGTTTCCGGAAACGTGTCGACTCCGGCGTTTCAGCTTGTGAGTGGCGTCGTCCACGTCCATGTCGAAGAGGATTTCCCATTTTTTTGCAGTGCCGTCCGCGGAGGTGGACACGAATAATACTACGGATTTTTCGTCAGGATTGCACGCCAATTCCAGCGCTGTGATGGTTTTCCCGGGCGGGTCGTGTTCATTGAGTAGCAGCAGCCTCGCACCCGATTGCGCATTCCATAGCTGGAAGTAGGAAATTATTCTTGAAATTTAGCAAGGATATTGAGTTACAAACATGTGTATTCAAACCGAGTTGAAGAGACATGCGATTTAAAATATAAAAAGAAACTATTTGTTGACTTCGCAGAAATCGGAAAGAGAAAATATTTCACGAAATATGCTACGAAAGTTTTTTCAGCAAACTGGTAGCTACTTTTTGTGCAATATGCGGAAAAATTCTTTAATCTAAATAGCCTATGAAGCATCATATCAGAAGGTAATCTTAATGTGAGTATATATAACGTAACTGAAAAATCACTATATTGCTCAGATTAATTAAACAATGTATTCCTTTCAAGCTGCATGCGCTTCTACAGACTTGTCTTATTCTCAAATGTTCACTCATGATCTGCTGTTATAGAGAAGTCTCCGAAATTTGAAAATGAATTCTATCTTTCGGAGAAACAGCAAGAAGTCAAGAGTGAACATTTGAAGATAATGTTCAGTGTACATAAAACTTATACTCTTCAGCTTCGCCGATTCCAGAAAAATAGTAAGAAAGGCATTGAAGCAAAAAATAAAATGCTGTAAAAGAAAATAGTACAAATCCAAAGATGTATTGTATTAATTATGCATATAGCTTTTAAAACAAACATATATAAGACCCACACCTACATTTTTTAGATAAATTCTTTAGGGAAAAATGAATCCCCGCGTAATACTGTACGAGCAATCTGTTTTTCTGCGACATAAAAATCATCTTACTCTAGGGAATACATTTTTACTTTGAAATTGTTCATGTAATCCGCATACAATTTTGCTACATTTTAAAAATTCACATTCTCCCCTTTATATTGGATTCAAAGAATTTTTTTTTACTCGCCCTAGTACAGTATCTACAAAATTAAACCTAAAAACTTTAAATTTCATGAAAAGTTTTACTATGACGTCCACCAAAATGTAAAAAATTTATTTTCGTGCATCACTTGCCTCAAAAGTTAAGCCAAAATGTGTATACGAGTATTTATATATTGCTTCTTGAAAATTTTGAAGCTCTTCATGATAATTTTTCACTGACGTTTGAAGAAATATTTTTTGCTCAAATCAAATTCAAAAAGGTAGAGTGCGACTGTGCGAGTCATTCTGAAATATTTACGTACTGTACATATATTTTTTGAACGGCGCAAGAAAATTGCCCAACCTCAATTTTTCCGAGTTCATCGCCGATGAAGATGGCTTTGTGCTTGGGTAAAAACAAACACGCTGTTTTTGTAGACGTGCTTGTCAGCGGCTTCGTCAAAATATGTCCAGTTTTCTGGTTCGTGGAGCTGTTGGGGAACTAAGATTTTAAGAACAATGATCTCAAAATATTTAATGGAGAAATATGAAAATTACCAGGTCTCGAAATACACGCGTTCCTTGGCGTCTGCTATGACTTGCTTAGCCACATTTTTAACAACAGAATCCGAATGCATAGAAAGAGCGAGCTGAACTACGTCAGCATTTTCTTTTTCTAATTCGTGCCCAAACATCCGCACAAAATGGTCGAAGTCTTGAAGTACTTCTTGTCCGTCAGTGTTCGATTCACTCTGCTACAAAAAACAAAAACAAAACAAAAAAATCAATAGTCGTTCCAGGAATGAGAGAGCGAATATCATAAAGTTTCCAAACCACTGCTTCTCGAATGGTTCGCCTGTACTTGACGTAATCATTAAGCAAATCTGCGGGTCCAGTCGCAGAAATCTTTGCTGCGACAAAGTCCAGGTTGACAAATATTTTGAACCACTCGTGATGGCTGCTTTCCATCAAATGATGTCCGATCTTTAAATTAAAATGGCGTTTTCATATCGGCTTGAATAATTAGCACAGTATGCAGTACTAACGTGCCACATGAAGTACTGATCTCGAAATGGCGCGAAATCTTTCCGTCCGTGTTCCGTCGAGAAGTACCACTTCAGCAGTTTATCATTCCAGCGCTAAAAAAAAGACAGCTGAACCTCAATAACCTGAACCTCACCAATAAGTTGAAAAACCTCGCTATTTGTCAATTTTTTTGTGGTCCTGTCTGAATATTCTCAAGAACAGTGATATCTGTACCTTCATAACTCAGAAGTTTTCACAATCAAACCCCCATAATAACTTGAATCCTTTCATGTACTGTTCTTTGTGCTATGATTTGGGGACAAACCAAATGGAAGAGCAATAAAAACCTAACCAGATTCTGTTTTTAAAGTAATCGAGTTACTAATTGGGCAATTGCACCCTTGCTTTAAAGTTCGGCATCCTAATTTAATGTCATAAAATGATGGTTTCCCCAACTTGAAAACTTCCTGTGTAGATACATTTTTTGCTGGTCCCTACTTGAATATAAATAAAAAACAGCAGCTTCAAGACTTTTACCGCACTTTTGTATACCTTCTTTTTCATACACATAGATAAAAACACAATGAGTAATACGCAAGCATATGTACGGCCACAAAAATGGAAACCAACAATTCTTACATGATATGGAATCTCTATAATTGAATGATTTTTCTCATCACGCTTACAAAAATCAGACGAGAGATCACTCAATTATTTTATGATATGAAATTAACTGATATGAAATGATATGAAACACCAATTGATGAATATCTTGAGTTAGCATAAAAAAACTTTTCACATTCCTTCATCTGAGAGTTGCTCAGTTTTTATATCAGGGTGTCCTAATTCTAGCGTCTTTATATGATTTTCGACGCAATACTATAGGTATTTAATTTTCAAAGAATTGTGAATTGCAGAGGCTATCCCTCGGGAATGTCGGAATGCAAGGAAAATAAGTTTCAAAACAGAGTAATTTCAATTTCCAACCTTTCTTTCCTCCGGCGTGGTTCGTGAAAATAAGAAGTCGTGTTGAATCCTGTGCAAGGAGAACATGTATTCCGCATTCGGCATGGATTCATCTTCATGCCGAACGAGCAGGCTTTTCTTCGTCAACAACTTCGTGATATCGTCAGTGTCCCATGGAAATAACCCATTTTCGGTGTCTGAGAAAAGCGAGCCGAGAGCGTAGGAGGAAAATGCGACATCTTTCGGAAAAACGACGCAACGCTTGTAGAGTTCTCGCGTGTTTGGGTCCAGGCTCTCGAAACTGAGACTCATGGTCTGCGACAGGTTCAGTGGGTACTTGGTTGCTGAAAGCTGGTTCGGGTGTGGCTGATTGTTCATTTTGCCTTCCTTGAGCTTCTTGAGCTGCAATTTCCACTTTTGCGGACGGTCGTTGCCGGCGAGAGAGCCGCCGACGAGGGAAATCACAATTGGCAGACCTTCGAAGATTCAATTATTTTCAATTTAAACTTTACGAATGACCGATAATAATAATCAAACTTTGTACTAATCACGTACCATGAGCCTCGATGTGAATCTTCTCCGCTTCAGCTGGCAATTTATCTCTCTCAACTCCGGTCATTTTTGCAAGTAACTCCAGACTTTCGTCACTCGTTAAGCCGTCCGGAATCTTCGTAGGATTTTTCAGAGAGCAGAAAAAGAAAGCAGGACGTTTCGACTTTTAATCCATAAATAAATTTAAAATGCATTTTTTCGAGGCAGTTGCAGAAACCATCGATTGCATTCCCCACTTTGCAGTCTGAAATGCAAATGTTTCATGCAAAAGATTGATTTTAAAATGTGAGATGATTTAGGTTCCGGAATTCGTTTAGTAGAGCATATATTTTTTTGGATTTGGTCTGAAATTATACACCATCGGACTTATTCAGAGTGAAATTATTGAAGGCACTGTCAAAAATTCCCGATGGACAGATCATTACTGATCGAAAAATCAATCCTAACATCTTTCATCTACTCGGGACTTCTAGAAGATCCGACAGCACGTACAGCAGTACAGTAGTATCATAGAAATATCTGTCATTGTTCTCTTTAGATTCTCTTTCTCAAAATGTATCAATACGTAGCAACAGATGTCGCTCTTTTATTTTCAAAAGAAACAGTTGCGTGTACTTTCAGAAAGGCCTTGAAAACTACTAACAAGCTCCTACAATTATAAACTCTCCTTGATTCTCTTGAAAAAAAAAAAAACGAATATAAACTGTCATTCAGAGTTGTGGATTAAGCGGATGAACACCCAATGAGAAAATGTTTTTTTTCCAAGTTATACTTGCGGGTGCGGATATACGCGAGTATATCCCTTGGATTTCGGTATTATTATACATGAGCATTTTCTCGAAGCTGATTAAAACATTTGAATAATGAGGTCCCACAAGGAGCGATTTTCGTACTCACAGATTGTAATTTTGTCACATTTTGGAATCCATCCATGATAGACGAGTCGCTGCATGTGACCAAAACTTTGACACCGATGTTGAAAGCGTCTATCACGCTTTTCTCCCAAACGTCATCCAAAATCAGCAGCATTGAATTTTTGAAAGCTTTCACCTTTTTCTCCAGCCGGCATTTGGCCAAGTCTACAACCGTAGGAAAGGGCTGTTGAAGGAAATGCAATTATAAACAAACATAAGTTCTGTTGTTTAGATCGTTGAAGATTCCTTTTGAGAAATCAATATAAGGAATTTTCGGTACCTGATTGACTTCCACGTCGTCGACCCTCTCGTAGAACATCTGCATTTTAGCCAAGAGAAATTCGTCCTGCAGATCTTTCCCAATTTTGAGCCAAAAGGCTCCCTTGGGGAACATTTCTTGAACGAAATCGAGATCGTTGAGGACGTCGACGACGACGACAGATTTCCCACACGGGCAGTAGGGCACGTCTTGTTTCTTTACTGGAACAAAGTAAAAAGAGTCGCTGAGGAACTGGACTGGGTGTTGTCCAGCCGACTAATTTTGTACGCCGCCGCAACCTTGGTCAACGTCGGAAATGAACCAAACGAAATCCCGCAACGAACACGTGAAATAAACATTATTGAAATCACCAAGTTTCGCCGAAACAGGGAAAATTCGACGATCATTCACTTTATATGCCGGACGATAAAGAATATGTGGGGTCCAAACAATGCCACTCGCTCAATTTTGTTTATAAATTTTGAGCAGATGAATCGTTGGCTAGAAACTCAAATTACATGTCAGGTACCTTCATATTAGTGCAGTATCCAGTTTTAAAAATGGGGAAACCTGCCCACGGCAAGTTTTCAGGAAAAAAATGAAAAAAGTTAAGGATATATGCTTAAAATTGGCATGCATATAAATAAAACAAATGACCGGGATCAAGAATCTGCAGAAAATTCGAATGCCTAGCCTTTCCCTCCCGGTGCTTGGGTGCAATCGAACTCTACCAAAGAATAATAGCATGGGAAATCACTCAGCTGTTTAGATTATATATTGTACTGCAATTTGTTGTTGGCTTTGAATCCCATCGGACTCATTATAATTAAATATTAAAAAAAATAGAACTTACAGGTTTCTTGGCGATTCCTTTTGCTTCGCTGATCGGTTCGCTTGATCAGTAAGATCGAGTCCATTGAGCTTTCCTGGAATTTCGGATATGATGCCATTTTCCGTAGATTTTAAGCTGCTGGCGTCAATTTTCAAAGAGGTAAATTTCGAAGAAAGGAATTTTTCCTCATACTCTTCGCTTAGCCAGTCGTAGTGTTTCTTCAAAGCTTCTGCGAGATCTTGGTAACCTTCTGTTCCTCGGTTATCCAAGATTTGAAAGATCCGTGTAAATTGCTCTTCATGCTCTTTTCTGCTGGCCTAATGTAGATAAATCGAAAAATGTGTACTGTGATTAAACGAGAAGATATCGAAGTCGATTTATTACACATTTTACATTGAGAGGCATTCCCTCACAGCGAAACCATCAGCAACGACTCTGATCAAGTTGCCTCACATTTTCTCATGCATATTGAATCACTCAAAACTATGAAAAGATGCTAATACTGTACTACTTTCAGTCAGCCAGATTAACTTTCTTGCCGAGCTTAAAAACAAAGCAGCAAAATGTTTCATGTAGAATGGATATCTCAAAGTTTTAGCAACAATGGTGACCCTCACGGACAGACACGAACAAATTCAGGACCAGGTGAAATTTTGCTGCAATTTTAAACTGACATGAATTTTTTTATTAATGTACATGAGTCAATAATCAATATTAGCTATTCGTGATCATAGGCACTTAATTCATTGGTTCACAATACAATAAATCATAGACTATATACATAGAGGATCAATATCGAACGTGCAGCTCAAACAAAATGGGAACTGGCTCCGCTGCCAGCGCCAGCAGTGACATCTACCTGCCGTATCTGGATTGAAGAACTTACTGCTGAGAGCGACGGACATACAGTACTTTATATAAACGTGTATTAAAAACTTTACGCGGATTTTAAGGGAAACTGACTACTGTACAAAAATGCAAAAATATCTTACAGGTTCAGGGTTGATGGTTTGACCTGTTCTGGAAATGTGACGTTCCAGCACTATATCCTCCAAAATATACTTGAGCTCTGCTGTTTCCACAACGCTCTTCTTCCACGCCTCGAATTCACGCATTTCTATACTCATTCTCAAGTTTTCCACGCGAGTCACGCGGTTTGTTCAACAAAAAAAGCATTCCTATCCTGAAGAAAACAAAGAACAATATGCACGACATGAAAATGATCACACGACCGGTATTAAACTGAAACTTCAACTCGTCAGCCCATCACCAACACTCAAACGCGAAGAAGCGGGTTTTGACAGATTTTTCGGGCATTAAAATGAAATATGAAACCGACTGATAACTTGAAAGTTTAGTAGGAACCCGAACAGAACTATAGAGAGGGGGAAAATGTTGAATAGCGCGATAAGATAAACTGAAACCAGTGACAACGTTTAACCGAACATTGTACTCTATTACATCATGGTGGGATGAAGGTCACTTTTTTCGAGGCTTGTTTGACGATGATCTGTAACGCGAAAACCGAGTTTTTTTTTCCTTCG